CTCCAACGAAATATCCAATGAGATCTTCTCGCCCATATAAGCAGATTTCGCAGTGCAGTTGTGGCCGAGTGGTAGTTGACTATTGGGTTGGGGAGAATGAGTCGGCGCCGAAAATGAAAAAAATGTCTAAAACTTCTATTCGACTTCGTCAAATAATATGCGTTTGATATGAGTAGAATGGTTAACTAATTCTCTACAAAATGACATTTAAAAGAAAATTCAAACAGCGCCTCCGCTCAAGAAAAAGCCATTTTTTCACAAAAACTACAAACTGTGATCTAGAAAAAACCATTGGTGGGATCTTCCTGCAAATTTGGCAACTTAAGTAATTGAATGTGCTCTATCTTTTTTATATAAACACCAAAGAAGGTTTATGTGAAAGAAACTGTTCAAATGATGAGTCGGACTCTTTGCCATTTTAACCAGCTGCGTTTGGAAGTTCATAAACTCCACGAAAGAAAAGCTTTGTGGAATCTCTCAAAAGTCATTTTGTAGAGAAATAGTGGATCCTTTTGATGAAACCAAACGTATGTTTAAAGAAGGTTTTATGTGTGCAAAAAGTCCCTTTAAAGTTTGGCGCCGACTCATTCTCCCCAACCCAATAGAATACGAGGCGAAGCCTCTCGGGTTCGAGTCCACAGCTCAGCCTTTTTTTTGCTTTTTTAAAGGGAATTGATCTCCATTTTAAATACAAGTCTTTTTCAAGCTACTTCTCATAGAAATCTTTATTAACTATTAGCATTAAACAATAATCATTAAAATCTAAAACATCAAGTCTTCGCGATATTGATGACATTCGTGAAATGAGCGCGTTTCATTCGATAATTAAAACGATGCTTGTTTCAAATTTGATGTTTTTCCCAGTGAGCATACAGATTATCTTGCTTTTATGTCTCATCCCTGTTGTAGTGGTAGTCAAATTAGAATCGACAAATGTCAAATCGACGAATGTCATCAATTTCTTGATGTTTTCGATTTTAATGATTGTTGTTTAATGTTAATAGTTAAAAGTAAAGATTTTTATGAGAAGTAGTTTGAAAAAGACTTGTATTTGAAATGGAGATCAATTACCTTTAAAAAAGCAATAAAAAAATTGACTCAAACTCGAGCGAATTTCTCTTGGATTCTAGCCAACTACCACTCGGCCATCCTTGCTTGTCAAGGTCTCTGGGAAAGCTGCTTGTAATTTTTTTTTATGATGATTGATGATTTTTAAAAGCCCATACAAAACTTTGCCTGCTTATAACTTTTGACAGAGTGCTATTTAGCAAAAACTGAAAGCAGATTCGGAAACAGGATAAAATTCTAATAATATATGGTTATTCGAATAATATATGGCTCGTACCATTTGGCCACCACACTCGGTTGGCATTCCCTTGTGAGAAACGTTTAGTCTGTTTATTTGCAAGATGATTGGGTCCCGTGACCTTTTCCGATGATATATAGACCAGACGTTTACGCTGATTCCAATGATGTAAAAATTAGCTGCCGAATGGCGCGTAATCATCGCCAAACTGCCATAGAAGTTTTGGGTCTTTCATAAAAGCATAAAGGCGATAAATTTTGAGAAAATGGTAGTACGGTGGAAAAAGTGTGTAAAAAGACTTTTTTTCATTTTTTCGTCAAATAAAGTTTAAATTAACTAAAACAAGATCTTAGCTAATAATTGAAAACATCCTTTCAGCAGACAGCTTGATGTGCAATACAATATTTTAGGGTAAACCTCTTTATCACTTTCTGCGCAAAGGCCTTTTTTGAAGGGCGCGGAAAAGGGCATAACTCAAAAACTAGGAGCCCTCTTGTAAAATAATTATAAGTCTCAGAAGCTACAGAAAATTTGCTACATATTTGGATATAAGTTCAATAGGTTTTGGATAAATCTAGCATCATCTACGAGTCAAAAACCTCAAAGTCAAATTTCGCCAATTAAATGTTTAACAAGAATGACAAACTACAATCGATTAGGAGAAAAACGTTTATGTGGCCCCACAAAGAACACAAAAGAAGGTAGGAATAAAAAAAGCAAAAAAATGAGACGGGTCAGGTTCGAACTCTCGCCCCCAGCTTGCTGTACAATTGCTCAACCACCCGGCCACCGATGAACTGTTGTGTCGAAAAAATGAACTGTTCGTCGATGAACTGTTTGCGTTAAAAGGAGAGGCTCAAAACTTTTATGTCAGTTTGGTGGTGATTACGCGCCATTCGGCAGCTAATACCTCGTCGGAATTAGCGTAAAATTCTGCGTCGAATGGTCTATACAGGGTGCGTCATAAATATTGCAACAAGAGTTCAAAGATCGTTTTCCAAACAGGAAAACGGGCGTGTCATGGGTGTGTAAAGCCAATAACGATCAAAATTGGACCTTCATGCAAGATGGAGCTCCCGCTCACACGAAGAAGACGGCTCAGGACTGGTGTGTGGCCAACTTTCCCTCAGTGATCACCAAGGATGAATGGCCTCCAAACTCACCGGATCTCAATGTGATGGACTTTTCCATTTGGGCAATCTTAGAGGAAAACACACAAGTTTGGATTCTTTGAAGAAGTCTTTGACCAAAGGATGGAAGGCGATTCCTCAAGATGACATTCGGGCCGCAGTGGAGGCATATCCGAACCGATTAAGGGCTGTTATCAAGGCAAAAGGCGGTCATATCGAATGATCTCTTGTTTCCTTATTTGTTACTGTTAAATAAAGCTATTTCTGTTTAAAAATCTTCTTCCAGTGAAACTTCTTGGTGTGCAATGCCTTGAGTATCTTGTTGCAATAATTATGACGCACCCTGTATATCATCGGAAAAGGCCACGGGACCCAATCATCATTCCCTTGTTAGTTTAGTTTAATCTGTTTACTAATTCAAATGTCAATACTTTATCCACTTTCTGTTTAGTATGCTGGTTGTCGCTGAGCATTCAATGTGGATTTTCTTCTGTATTTGTGTCTTGTACGTTGACGGGTGTGCTGGCACTGTTTTTAGCTCAATTCAGTGAGTAGATGAAACAAAAAGATTGATAATATCGATACAAAGTTGAGCGAAAGATTTCTTTCATAAGCATAAAGCTCGATGTTGATAAATATTGCTAGCAAAGCTAACAAAATAATAAGACAAGCATGAAAATCCCTTCTAATGATCACTTCTAATGATTATTTGGGTTCAATCCCCTAGATTTCTTGATCTCTGATTATTTTTTAGGTGTACAAGCAATTTCACGACAACTTTGGCAAATGATATATCGTTTTCTTTGAACTATGTTGTCGATTTTGCTAGATACTGTCAGTTTGGTATCTCATTGAGGTTAGCCAAGCTATCTTGTACTAAAATATTCTGTTTTCAGTCGTTTCCTGGCTGTTTCCTTTGACGGTTTCTACTTTCAGTACACTTTAAAAAAGCCATTACTTCAATTGGTCTCTCCTTTTATTTTGCGTATCATTCTTGGTTTGATTTATCAATTTGCTTCACCCGCTTTGCAAGATTTTATCGACAGAAATCTTTTGTGTTTCCCGTTTATGCTCACCTATTCTCTCGATATTTTCACAAATCGAAAGATGAAAATCGTTAGTTTTCTTGGTAACTATGCATGGTAGAGCCGCCAAGAAGGACTCGAACCTTTTAAGGTTTTCTTTTTTAACAACTTTTTCCTTTGCGAATCTTATAATTATTTAGTTGGGCCAAAGTGGGAAAGTCTCGCACGTCGATGTACTGCTTTTGAAACAGGTAAAGAAATTTTAAGTCGACCTTAATCTGACATAAAATCAAAGGGATGAGATGTGCTCTTTTCCTAGAGTTTTAGTTATTTTACATTCCGAATCAATTTCACAAATCTTTTCCAGATGCTATCGAGTACTATTCTAAACGTGACCGAGGTGTGCTTTATTGTGATATTCCAATTGAGTGCTCTTCTCTTCTTCGTTCCTTCAGTCTATGATCCCAATGATCATTCGGTTCCATTCATCATGTACATTTTTGTTGGGTTCAGCTTTTTAACGAGGTGAGAGAACTCTTCCTCTCATAGAGATAGAGAAAAATCTGAGTTATGACTAGAGTTAAGCCATAATTAAAGTTGAGCCATAACTAGAGTTGAGCCATAACTAGAGTTGAGCCATAACTAGAGTTGAGTTATAACTAGAGTTAAGCCATAACTAAAATTGAGCCACAACTAGAGTTGCGCCATAACTAGCATTGAGCCATAACTAGAGTTGAGCCACAACTAGAGTCGGGCTTAAAATTCTCTTAACTGCCCATACAATATAGGAAAGGGTCATACACTTATCGATCCATCGAGAAGCTACTATAGTTATAATTACGCCACTTGAAAGCACATAAATCGATTTAGAAAAAAACGTACAATATACTGATAAAGTACTAGGCTGATGAAAAACTTTCTAGACTGAGTGATACGCCCGAAAGTTTACTAAAGATTCAATTTTATTGAATATTAATAAAAAGTTCACGTCAGAATATAGCACAACGACAGCCCATTTCCTTCGAAAACGTCAAGATGAGGCGCCATCGAGAGAAGTTCGAACGGCAACTAGTTGAGCACAAATTTGAAGAAAACGCTTTTATTTTATCAACAACTATATGCAATTACAATAGTTTATTTGTTCATTTGTTCAATAGATATTCGATGCCTTGTTTAGCAAGAAAAAAAAGACAGTGTTGAGTATTAGATTGCCTCATAAAAATCCAGAGATTTTGAATTTCATTTATTTTCAACGCATAGAAAAAACGAATGGATCAGAATCAATTTTATATTCCCCAGGTGAATTTATCTTTTCTCCAACGTTTGGGTGGCTTGCCAATCCCTCATTTGTAAAGCCCAAGCGAGCGAGATCAAAAATAGCCGTTCAATCCGTCTTCGAGTTCGCTCTCATCATCTTTGAACTTTTTACCACTTTTTACCATTTTCAAAACATTTATTTCGATCTATGAGAACAAAAAAATAAATGTGTAATTTCTAAAACTCAACAGATTAAACATAAATATAGCAAAATGTTTTTCATTTTTCCGATTTATCGCCAGATTCGAGGAGTTTCGCTAAGAAGACCGACCCAGGCGGTCTCTCGTTCACCGGATCATCCGATACTAGAGCCCCAAAAAACGCCAAATATTTCCCATCATCGAGCCACTTTCGATAACTTGAGCAACTGTGGAATCCCTGAAAAGTTGACCGCTTAAACGGCTCGTATAAATGCTGAAAACGGAGCTCATCTTCTTCGATCACTCCTCTCTCATCGTTCTCGAACATCTCGCCGACCATCTGAGTGTCAAAGTAGGTGGAAAACTGAATGGTGAACCCGGGATTTTCATTCGGAAGTCCTTTCTCGAGAATCTCCGGTAATCGACGAAGAAATCGGCAGCTATCAAGAGTCAAACGTTTCAATCCCTTTAACCCTGAAAACGTGTCCAATGGGAGACAATCCCAAAGAGTGATCGCTTCACAGAAATCAAGTTTTGTTCGAATCCAATCCCGATAGAAATCTCTTTCCTTTGCCCCATTGGCGCCAACGTCGATTCGAGCCGATTTTAGCACTGTGAATTGAAGATTTTGCATCAGATTTGACCCAATTAATAGGTCGTCCCATTCTAGGTGACCGATGATTTTGATATTCTTCAAAAAAGGGAGAAATTTCTCGTCCCGCTCGTTGAATTCGTCTTTTTTGTAAATAGGAGTATGAGTGAGGAAATCCGTGCAAGTGACGGACTCTTGAAAAAGTCTCACAGTATGGCGATCGATTTGATCATCAATTGTCAAGCAAATATTCTCTAGATAATCAGATTTCGAGGAAAATAATGGAATTTGAATTTGTCCCTGTTCGAAATCGAGGACGATTTGGTGAAGGCGTTTCCCAAAAGGACCATTCTTTAAAACATAACATCGGAGTTTTTTGTTGACTTTCAGAAATTTAAGCAGTAAATCGGGGTAAAGTCTGTGAAAAATTTGCCGTTTTAACTCATTTGGCAGTCTCTCCATTAGAAAGCTCAGAAAGCAAAAGATTCTTGGCAAAAGTACTTCTAGAAAAGGGGGAAACTTCTTCTTTTGCTGGTGACTCAACTTTGTGATAAGCATTTGGAAAAGAGAGCCGAATTTCTCCAAATCAATAAGCAGAAGGGGAGCACAAAGGCAAACAGGCAAACAAAGGCAAACAAGAAGGTTCGAAAAGGCAAACAAAAAGAACACACCAGTAAAGTGTGTAAATCGTAAGTTTAATAGTTAACCAAATAGTTCTCGATTCGAGTATAAAGGCTGGCTTAAAAGAATGAACTCTGAATAGGCCAAAGCGATCAAAATCTTAGCAAACTCTAAGCGATTCCCTTTGCAAAGTGGCTCCCTTCTTAGCAAACTCAAGCAAAGTAATTTAAGCAAAGGATTCCCTTTGCAAAGTAATCCCCCATCAAAATCTTAGCAAAGTGATTCCCTTTCTTTTCGCAGAATTTCTTTGTTACTGATTTGACTTAGTTATTCTTATAAATCAAACTTTTAGACTTTATTATACAAATAATTTATGCATGATAGAACTAGCAATGACTGTTCGTTGACCAGACATAGCATTGAATTCCCTCGTATTGATAATCGTGCAAATTGAGAAGAACCCACTCCTTCTCAGCCTCGCTATTTGTGTAGAAATGGTCTGAAAAGTAGAATCAACTGATTCATAGCTACAGTACTGGACAATGAAATATCATATTTGAAAAACGATCGTCACTTTCGCGCGCGCTGAAATGCGTCAAAAATACGGTATTTCTAAAAATTGATATTACCATTGTGTAGCCCTTGAAAAGAACTTTCAGAAAATGTATAACACTAACAGCTTAAACTCAAAGACAAGGAAGTTACAGACGTTCAAACGTGACGATCGTTTTTCAAATATGATATTTCATTGTCCAGTACTGTAGGCTAAACTATGTGCTTGATATCTATGTGAAAATTGAACCTTTAGACCATGTATAACTGTAAACTATAGTTTTTCTATTTAAGTCAACAAATTCTAATTAATTTTGAACGTGAATAACTCTTTAAATTGGTCTTCTATATACAGGATAACCCAAAAGTTCGGAGCCACCTTGTTTTTCAGCGAAATTCAGCTTTTAAGCAAACAAAAAACGATCCAATGCTGAATATTCTTATAAAATTTTGTAATTATAGCCAGTTCATGTTAAATTTAAGGCTTTGCAAGCAAATATCAAGTCTTTTAATTGTCAATATATTGCTAGAATCAACCAAAATGCTTGGTCCCTTGAATTTCTTTCAAAAACCAGCAGAATTCTCGGAAATTTCTAATTAAACGTGGTCAATCAAAAGGAATTCTATTTTTTCAAATCTTTCTAGACAATTGGCAAAATTTCAGATTGATGGAAGCTGAAACGCAAAACTTATAGCTCTAAAAAGTTGCCGAGTCGTAATCGGATTTCAAGTTTGTAATTATAGCCAGTTTATGTTAAATGTAAGGCTTTACAAGCAAAGATCAAGTCTTTTAAGTTTTCAGTGTTGTTTCGCTTAAGAAGTAGGTTTGTTTGCTTGATAAGAGGGTTCTGTTTTTGCGGGAAAATGTCTCTAGACTTCTCTAGACTAGAAATTTCATCTAGATTTTGAATTTCTTTTTTGTTTACCTCGTGATTTGCCATTCCAGAAGCGGTAGAGTGGCAATAAACCACAACCGGATGCCGGCATACAATACCCGGTGATCCCCTCGAGATTATAATGATAATCGTTCTGAGCTTTCACCATCTCTGATTGGCTTGTCGTGTAGAAATGATCGCCTAAATTAGAAAATGAACTTGGCCTGGGTGTTTCTAATTTTTTCGGTCCAGCTTGAAAAAATTATGGATACTGGTATTGCTACTTGTGAATGATAAATCCAGCTTTGCTTTGTATAGCTTTGCTTGTCTTACAATCAAAAAAGCTAAACCTTGATGAAAATTCAACCCAAACCAATTTTGTTGTCTAATAAAAGTGGTGAATCTGTATAAGCTTGCAAGTTTCAATAGAGCGCTAAAAACTGTGAAAGTGTCACTTACTCGCTGAACTCGACCACATTCGATAGAGCGGCACGATGCCCGGACAATCACATGCGCCTGACGTTCCGAGGAAACCCATGCTGCCTGAAGAGAGCTTTCATTTGCTTAACCTGATTTTCAAACTTTCAATCGAATAGCCCAAGCTGACGGCATTTTGTTGCTCATCGGGATTATTTGTGTAGAAGTGATCGGCGCTTTTTCCGTTCCACGAGCGAAGAAGAGGTGTCAGAGGGACTGAAATGTTGATTTTTTGGACTAAACTAGCCTAAGCTTACCAGTCACAATACCTTATCAAGACTAAAAGTCAAAAATTTGTCGTAATTTGTGGGAAAGAGAGCTTGAGCTTTATTACCTCTTTCTACAAAAAGAACAAAACTGATCTATGAATCAAACTGGTTTATTCTGATGTTGCTAGGACAAGTCTACAACATAAAAGTCCCCGGTTTTCGCAAGAGAACGAATCTTTAGTTGAATGTATAAGTGTTTGTATTATACTTACCCTCGTGACATTTGACGGTCGTTGTCGTCGTTGTAGTGGTGGTGGTAGTAGTAGTAGTTGTTGTTGTTGTTGGTGTTGTTGTTGTTGTTGTTGTTGTTGTTGTTGTTGTTGTCTAAATAGCTGATACTTTTTTATATCTGAAAGCTTCTTCTTACGGTTGTTGTAGTGGTTGTGGTGATTGGCCTAGTCGTGGCTGTCGTGGTTGTTGTTGGAGCTGTGGTAGTTGATGGACACTCTAAAGAGTCAGCGAACTAGAAAGTTCCGTTTAAGTTTAAGTTAGATTAGTTTAAGATAGTATTGTCATTTGGTACGCTTAAGATTCGAAATCAGAATTACAGAAAGTTCTAATGTGGCTTACACGCACAAACTAGAGAGCTACAGGCCGATAAGCTACAGTTTATCAAAGAGGATGACAATGATAGCGGTGTGAACACAGAGTTTCTCGTAAATTGAAATTCTAATTCTATATAACGCGGAGAGAGATTGAGGGCCGGATGCTGTACGATTGTGTGTGGACAAAATGAATACTCAAACCATTCAAAGCTGAAAGAAGCAAAAAAAGTCAAGGTCCAGACTCGAACCCTAGACTTCTTGCTTCAGATCCAAGCCTTCATATCCAAGCCTTCATATCCAAGCCTTCATATCCAAGCCTTCATATCCAAGCCTTCATATCCAAGCCTTCATATCCAAGCCTTCATATCCAAGCCTTCATATCCAAGCCTTCATATCCAAGCCTTCATATCCAAGCCTTCATATCCAAGCCTTCATATCCAAGCCTTCATATCTAAACCTTCATATCCAGGCATCTTTCCCTCTCTGGTAATTCAACTTATAAACTCAGAGTCTGTTTTTGCGATTCCATACAAAACTTTGAGCGCTTTTGAACTTTTGACAGAGTGCTGCATTGCAAAAACCGAAAACAGATTCGGAATCAGCAAAAAATTCTACGAATGGCCTATGGCTCAGGTCATTTAACCACCACACCCTGTTTACATTTCCTTGTTAGTATCAAGAAACATACTGCTACTCGTATCTCTACATCCATTCACATCCACGAGCACGAAGGAATGAGCCAAGAGTGGCAAGCAAATAAACACCTCAATCAAGTGTTTCATAATAAATAAATGCTAATCAAAATGATTTAGAGACAACCTTTTCCAGCTGTATAAATAATGACCAAAGCTTACGTAAACAGGGTCAAACTTTTTACGAAAGTTTTGCAAATTAGGATAAACGCTGAAAACAGTACAGTGGAGAAAAAGTAGATAAGAATAAGAGACCTGTCTCCCAACTTTGAAAGTCATAAAAACAAACAATTCCAGCCACTAATCTCATAGTCAGGTCAGACATATACAACTGATAAAAACTATCCGTGTTTCAAGACTTTTCGAAGAATTCGGAACGTCATTTTCAGATTTTTTTTTCAGAAAGAGACTGAGAGCTAATAATGAGTCGGCCTATTTTCAAACTGATAACTAAAACTAAAACTCTAACTGATTAATAGTACAATAAATGTGTAGGTCAGAGGTAGAAATGTCCTGAGATCCTGCAGGGGATTTCAGGGATTTCAGGGATACCCAGAGGAGATTTCTCATTCACGACAATGAACTTTTTCCATCAACTTTTTATTTTTGGAAGTTTTGTCAACAAGTTTTTGTTGGCATTGAGGCTTTCAATTGAGATAAGATATTTGTTTGGTTTTGTTTGATTTGCTACTAATGGTTTTATGATCCTCATTAGACTTCATAGTTCCTTTCAGGTAAACAAATCTCTTCTCTCAATTGAAAGCCTCAATGAAAGCCTCAATTTCAGGTAATATGTCAAAAATTTGGCTCGTCCTTTGCTAAATTCAATCCTAGAAAAATCGAATTTCTATTTGTAGAGCGATAGCCACAAGAAAACCACAAACCCTTTTTATTAGGTTGGTGAATTGAAAACTGCCGGACTTTAAACTAAAATTTATTCAACATGAAACCATCAATTCATTCCAAATAATTTCCATTATTGTTGACGACTTCTGCCCATTTTACAGGCAATTTGCGGATTCCTCTTTCGTAGTAGGATTTTGGTTTGTGTGTGAGACAAGTGTGAGACTCAAAAATGGAGGACTGGAGATGGAGACTGGAGATCCCAGTTTGAGCACTTTCTTCAAAAGAAACCCATTTTGGTGTCAATAGAAAAGTTGTAGAGCATCAAAAATTAGGCTTATAGCCAAATTTCCAAAAAGATACACTTAGTAGTTTCGCTTAAAATGCAAGTTTTGTTGCAAGTTTTGTGAAAATTGGTAAATTTGGCATTTCTTGAAAACCTGTTTTTGAATCGTTCTGAAAATTTGGATATAAGCTTCATTTTTGATTCTCTACAACTTTTCCATTGACACCAAAATGGGTTTCTTTGAAGAAAGTGCTCAAACTGTCACATATGACAATAGCCCGCAGTTTTCAATTCACCAATAG